GCGCTGTGAGTGGCTCGTGTCCAATTGAGCCGTGTCCAACTGGGTGCCACCCAAATATGACTAGGCGTCTACTTTACAATATTGGACCAATATTGGAGATTAAATTTTTGTCCAATATTGGCGAAATATTGGAAAAATAACGTACTGCCAATGTAAAACATTGGGTAAAAATTGAATCCCCAATATTGGTCCAATATTGTTAAAACAATATTGTTGAATCAATATTGGCTAGATATGACTAGGCGTCTACTTTACAGTATTGGACCAATATTGGTTATCCAATATTTTAATATTGGCTGTACATTCGTTTCCCAATATTGCGCCAATAATTTGTGCTACTAGGGATAATGCGTCAGTCATACATCAGCGTTGCAAATATCGCATGTTACCGAAGATATCAATATAGCACGCACAGTAAGTAATGCAGAAATATGAATTAACCGAGATAGCTCCTTTTGCCTACAAATTGATTACCTACAGCACCTTTTGCCTACATCTCATTTACCTACAAATCAATTGCCTCACATATGTTATTGCCTACAGCTCGATTACCTACATGCACTTTTGTGCACAAATAAAAATTTTAGAAACGGAGTTACTTTTGCCTACATGTATTATTGCCTACATGATGTGGAAGGTTATTACCGAGCATGAGATGAGTTACCACCAATTTTATTAGAGAGTAGAAATTTTGGACAGTAAAAGAGATATTAGCAAAAGATCGTTATCGGAAATGACACATAAGAAAACAATACAATGATCTCAATTTAAAATTTTTTTTATGCATGAATACATATAAATATGTATAAACTTTATACATATGTACATTTATGTGTGAAAAATTTTTACCGGGTTATGTAGGGCAAACTAATAGATAGTTAAAAAAAACAAAAATCTCACAATATCAGAGCCACATCAGAAGAAACATTTTTACTAATTCGGCCATCACTGAACATAGGATGAGTCACAACCACGAATTTTGCTGAGAGATGAAGATTTTGGATAGTTAAAGATATCTTAGCAAAAGATTGTTATCGGAAATTACACATGTAAGGAAGCAATACAATGGTATCATTAAAAAAATTTTTTCATGCAAAGTATATATGAATATGTATGAATTATACATGTTCATATTTATACATGAAAAATTTTTTCCGGGTTATGTAGAGTAAACTGATAGTTACAAATAAGAATCTCAAAATATCGTAGTCTCATTCAGAAGAAACATTTCTACTAATTCGATCATCACTGACCATAAAGTGAGTTACAACACGAATTTTGTTGGGACAAGGTAAAGATATGGATAAATTAAGAAATAATTCCTACACCGGTCAAACTTAGATCTTGAGTGCTTTAAATAATTTTATGTGAATTTATATATCATTTGTAATCTCTTAAATTGCGTGTCGAATTGATTTTTCGGACTTGTTAGGAACGCAACTGAACTACCATAGTAAAATTATTATAGTAATATAAAAGAACTACTATAGCAATGTATAAACAAATTAAATTGACAAGCAATTTAATAATTTAATGTTTAATTGGTAAAATACTGAGTGTAAAATAAAAAGTAAAATGCAAATATTTCTCTTATTATTAGCCTTGTATATTTTTGTTATTACTATTTTAAGAATGAGAGTCTGTTCTAAACATTTTTATATTTATAATATTAAATCTCATAGGACGTATATGTGAAAAACACAATCTATAGAAACAAATGCCTTAAACAGTCTAGTTGGATTTTAAGTGCTTGTATAATTCTGCGTGAATCTATATTTATAATTTTCTTTTATTTTTTTAAGGAAAAAACGGCTACGTTTGCCACGACTAAAAATCGCCCATCAATACCTTTTTTGGATATAAGAAATATAGTACGATTATGATAACCATAAGATTGGCGTATCTTAACGGTTATGGCTGTAAAGACATGACTGTCTTACGGTTATCACAACCATATACATATATTGATGGGCGAAAATTATCATTATTTCTGGTTGTAGCAACCGTAACATTTTTTCTGTGTTCAATTATACAGGGTGTCCAGCGAGACTTTTCCACTACTCCACAGGGAGATAGATGGGATCGAAATAAACATAAAAGTCCTTTACCATTTAGCGATATCCGTAATGATAATCGAGATATTAAGTTTGTATTTGCACTAATGAGACCGCGCCGATAGAAAGAATAGAAACGGCTCCGGCTGCTCTTTCGAGGTATAGTCTGGCCCAGTTTAACAAACGATTGATGTGCGGCAGGAGAGGCAAGAGGGGAAGCGCGCCGTTGTTTAGCGCTCGGCACCGCCGCTCACACGTTTCACCGCACCGCACCAAAGAACTCGCGCGATGGCCGATACGCACATTCCCAATTACATTACATATGTAATAATAATACTGCAAAAAAAATAGGACAAATACCAACCATAATAAACTTCGATGAGTAAAAATGTCGGAAGAGAGAAAGCGATGAAATCTCGCTCTCTAATAAAATTTTACGAAGTTTAGTACAAGATATTAATGTCGGAAGAGAGAAAGCGATGAAATCTCGCTCTCTAATAAAATTTTACGAAGTTTAGTACATTTTTTATTAAATTTTATGTGGATTTGTATAAAATTTAATGTAAGGAAACGTTAAATTTAAGTTATTTGTAACTCTTCATTTTCATTGACAACACATTAAATATTTTTAATAAAATAAAATTTAATGTAAGGATACGTTAAATTTAAGTTATTTGTAACTTCATTTTCATTGACAACACATTAAATATTTTTAATGTGTTGTCAATGAAAATAAAGTTACAAATAACGTTAAAAATAACTTAAATTTAACGTTTCCTTACATTAAATTTTATACTAATCCACATAAAATTTAATAAAAAATGTACTAAACTTCGTAAAATTTTATGAAACGTACACTAAATTTCATGTACATGTACACAAATATACTTTTCTCAGTTACAGATAAATAAAATTTAATGTAGTCATAAAATTTAATTTAATTTTTGTAACTTAAAAGTACATTAAACTCTATGTCTTTTTTAACAGTGTACGATAATTAATTATACCTCGAGAGCACAATGTTATGTCAAATATCGTTGATACGGTTAACAACAAAGAGCTTTTTTGGTAATTATGCGATAGTGAGCTTAGAATTTCTATTACCGTAAATACACTGTTAACTATGGCAGATTTTCAGTGATTTTTTAAGTATACATAGAAAGAGAGATTCCAACAAAACTTGCAATGAAACATTACGTCTTTATTGATATTTCATCGTATTCCGATGAAATCATACTCTCCTAACAGGAAACGATAGAGAATGGTGGAGAATGATATTATTTCTTTCGGATACTTTTTTCTTAAAATTTTTTCCTTTCGATTTAAACAAGCGACAGATTACGGCAGAAATTAATTCGATTTTCCGTAGGTTTCATTGCTTTCTCTCTTTCGACATTTTTACTCATCGAAGTTTATTATGGTTGGTATTTGTTCTATTTTTGCAGTGTTATTATTACATATGTAATGTAATCGCGAATGTGCGTATATAGCGTGATTTACACGGGCGACTTTTATTCGCCGCGTCTAATCATTTCATCATAGCGAATTCGCTACTAAAAACTTCTTCTAGACGCGGGTTTGCTTTTGTTAGCGTATACTCGCGGCGAATACCGCTTTCTTACCTGTGGAGTAGTGGAAAAGTCTCGCTGGACACCCTGTATAAATTCACATAGAAATTCTTTAAAAAAGAAAAGCATCTAAAATCCAGTTTCGATTGTAATAGACATTAAACTCTTGCTTGTTGTGTATTCACATATACAGGTTTAGTACATATACGGTTTTAATAAATCGTTTATTAAAATACAAGAAGAGTATTAAATATTTTTAAAGTAGTCACTTCAAACTTCATTTTGCATCTTTAAGCATATTTTTATCTTTATTATTTACCAAGTTATTTGAAATTTGGTAAATTTTTCCTAAATTTTCAGTCTACCGCTTTTTTTCGAGTGAGTGATACATATAACCGTTTATTAAATTTTATTTGTTAGAATCTGTGCACTAATTATCGCTCTCATAGCACCGTGTTTCTTCATATTCTTGTTGAACTCTTTTATTGTTGAGTTGTACTGTTGAGAGTTCTTTTATACAATTTATAATGTTTATATATTGATATTAACTATCAATATTAACAAATTTAATCTTTGATTGTTCGTTCGAAGAATCAAAACGACTGATACCCATTTCCACTAATGTAGATTAACTTTAATCTGCGTTGGTGGAAACGGACCAGAGTCTGCTATTTTTTTATAGTGTGAAGTATATTTTTGGATTTTCAGTCGAGTTATCGACATCAAAGATGACACCAAATGTTTTAAGCACAGATTCAAAAATACTTACGGAGAAAGATTTACAAAATGAGAAATCTTCAATTACTACAAAGATGATAGATGCTGAAAATTACACACAAAACAGAAGCAAAAACTATACAAAAACTGAAGGCTGGTTCAAGATGGAGCCGAAGTGGTTTAACATTTTAAATATTAGTTTTCTTAATTTATACTTCATATATGCTTGTTTTACTTTTGACTTTTTCGAAAATCTGTTGACGACTGCTTGGTGTAAGTATTCTTTGGAAAATTCTTTCGTTAATTTGATTTCTTGATATCCTAAAAAAATTACAAAACAAAAAAATAAAATTTAGACCACCAACGAATTAATCATTAAAATTGTAATGCATGTTTATAAAAAATGTCACAGTCGTTTTTACAACTTCTAACTCGAACGACGGCTAATTGAAAGCCAATTACGCGACTAAAAAAAGCACGCAATAGAACCTTAACAGCAGATAAAAAATTGTTGTTTAAGACTTTTTATTTTCATGTATTACATCAATTATATAATATAAAAAGGGGAGCGTAAAAGTACGAGTTCTTTTCGCGAATCTAAACGTTATAACATTCATTTATTACTAATTCAACAGTAATATAAAACGTTTTTACCTTTGTTAGCTTATCCTTGATATCAGAAAATTAACGCGCTAACTCAGTTTTGAATATAATGAAGATGACCTAATAAAGGTCGAATCGTTTATACTTTATATTACATTGTTGAATAAGGAATAAATGAATGTTATAACGTTTAGATTTGCAACAAGAATTAGCGTTGATTTTTATACTTCTTTATATATTTTGCCTTAGTTTTAAAGCCAGTCTTTAAGTATCTATTGTGTTATAAGTTATCATAAATTGTCAAATGTCGCAGTAAAATCGGTGCTACTTACATGACTCTCCCATAAGAAATACGAATTAAGTTGTTACGCATAATATTAAAACGTTTTTAATGTTAATTATGCCTATGTTTTTTGTTTCAAGTATTCATCATGTATATATTAGCAGGACTAGGTACCACTGCCGGTACTCATCGTTTGTGGACTCACCAAGCTTATAAAGCAAAATGGCAGTTTAGAGTTATACTTGGTGTTCTTTATGCTTCGGCAGGCATGGTAAATGAACGTTTATTATTACCGTTTTATACGTTGCAAGACGGAAGAATTTTTCTTTACAATTGTATCCTTTTAGAATGACATTTTCGAATGGGTGCGAGATCATCGGGTGCACCACAAATATACTGATACGGATGCGGATCCGCATAACAGTAACCGAGGATTCTTTTTCTCCCATGTGGGTTGGTTGATGATGAAGAAACATCCAGATGTGATTCGAAGAGGTTGTGAGGTGGATATGAGTGATGTATTGGCTGATCCTGTTGCTGTATTTAATATCAAGTAAATTTTTGCAAAGAGTTAATTATGCGAAATAGTTTCAAGTTGGAAAAGACAAAAGAAAATTTTAGGAAAAAAGAATATCTTTACAAAATTACCTTTTTAAAAAAAGGTAAAAAAAAGGCGCCAAGTGTGCATGTACCTTCCATAAAAAACTGTACTTTACATTAAAAAAAAACCGTTACATAAATAATATAGTTCAAGTGTGGTAATGTTGTTAATTTTTTATTATAAATTACCCTTCAGTAGTACGTACGCATGTATTAAAAAAGAAATTAAATCATATCTTTAAATTACGCCAATTGCAAAACGAATATATAATTTCTTGCAACATATAACATATA